AAAAAAAAAAAAAAAAAAAAAAAAAAGATTCGAGTTACAGATGAGAGATGAGACTATATGGGCTCCAGGGCAGCATCTAAAGAGAATGATGGACAGAGACTTGACTGATCCTTGAAGCAATAAATACCTCCTAGACCAAGAAGAAAGGGTACTTTTCTGTTTTTGAATCTGAGAAGTATGGCTTCGAGGAGCAAGAGAGAGGAGACAGCAAAAGCAGAATTTCAAGTCACGGAATTCAGTTAGGGTGACTACTCCTAGTTTGCAGGAAGCTATTCCAGATTTAGCTCTGAAAGCCCTTCTCCTAGGTATGCTGTTCTTTTTAGACAGAGCGAGGTGTTTGGTCACCTGGAGTCACTGGGAGGGCCATAGGCAGCAGGGAGTGTAGTGTGCCCATGGAACATTGGTCACGGGAACTGAGCATGGAGGAACACTGGGAGCTGTGACCGGAGCTATTCTGCTGAGGGGTAGAGGCTGAGGCGAGGCTGTGAGAGTTGAAGGCTAAGGGCCAGGGAGCAGGAAGCAATAGAGGGTTCACTGAGGAGTCCCAGAGTCCCTTGGAGTGTCTGCTGTTGGGAAATTCAGGGTCAGAGGGCATTTTTTTTTTTTTTTTTTCAGGATGGGAGGAACTTGAGCAAATATATAGGCATCCTGAAGGTAGAGGTAAGACAGCAAGGTTGAACGTTGGAGGGAAGAGGGCCTTGCTACGGAGTTGGACTCCAAGGAGAAGGAGCTAACGGGGTAACAGGTAGGCAGATTGAGGGGGGATATTATTACTTTAAGTGGAGAAATCTAAAGGAGAAAAAGTGAGGGAGAGATGGGGAGGAGGACTTCAGGGGCCAGCCACCCCACTACACAACAAGCCACGGAGTATAAGAAAGCAAGGTTACAGAAGTAAGAAAGGGGGAAAGTCCAGAAGCAAAAGATAGACAGGGGTAATTTAAGTTAAGGAAAACTGGCAAGAAACAAGCCACGCTAAGGCTGGGCATTCATAAGTAAGAATAGGCCTCCATATATGATTTGTTTGGGAGCTGGGTGGCGGGCCCCCCAAAAGAGCAAAGAGTGAAAAACCAACAGCCAGAAGCCTGGATACAAATGTCCACTGTCTTGTACCAGGAGAGAAAGCTTAGGGACGCTTACGTTGTTGCCTCTATTAGCTCCAGACATTGGTCAGCGTGTGTACTGGAGATGGGTGACAGGAACTAGGGGAGGCACACCATATATGACAGACTGTCGGCTTGTGTCTGTCAAGGGAGAATCCCACCTTGCCATTTTCTCCAGCAGTCCTTGGGGAGCTAGGCCCAGAAGCAAAGAGCACCTGAGGCAGGTGAGGTAGGAGAGCAGGGCTGGTGAGGAGGCTGAGGGGAGCGCATCTTAGACAAACCAACCCTGGGCTGAGTAACGAGGAAGGAGCCGGAAGGGCGTTGATAATTAGAGGCAATGGGGAATCCAAGGCAAAGAATAGACAGGTATTTCCTCATGACAAATGGCCCCAGGGGTAGGACTTCTGGGTGGCTTGGCCTTGAACAAGCCATTTACTGTTGGAAACGTTGGTTCTTCCCAACTCCCAGTAAGATTACATAACTGCTATGGTATTCTTCACCTCCCAAGCCGATGTGTGATTGTATAAACCAGTATGTCCCGGACTCTTGAGCCTCTGGGCAAAGCACTTTCTGTACTTTTCCTCCTGAGTCAGTGTGAATCATTTCTGTTCAGAAGGAAGGAGCCCTGGGGAACAAGACAAGAGATCTCAATTCGGCCAGGCCAGGTGCCAAGCTGGAGTTCCAGCCATCAGCTCCAAATTCCCATTCTGATTACTCTGCCTAAGGGGTCTCAGTAAATATTAACCAACACTGGGTGACCTTGGACAAGCTACTGAAACCATTCACCAGCCAGGTTAACTCAACTACCAGTGAAAGGCATGCCGCTGGAGCTCAGGGTGGCCATGCAGAAGCATGAACAGAAAGAGGGCAGGGATAAAGCTACACACGGAAATGGTTATTCCTGGAAAGGCCGTTGCCTCAGGTTGGGGTTTCCAGAAGCCGAGGCCCGCAGGGGCTCTTGTCCTAGGGCTGTATCAGGGTAATGCTTGCTTTCGGAAGTTGGGGGTGGGGAGCGGGAGCAGGCAGAATAAAGAAAGCACTGGGAGGGTCTGAGCCGCTTTTGGAGCCCTGCTTCACTCTTGTTCCCATGGGAAGCGTAGGTACACGAGTTGTGCAGAGTTAGTCTCACCAAGGAACAGATGTCAATCAACTATTGGGGGGGGGTAGTGGAAAATGTTCTTGTTTGACTTGGGGGCAGTTTTGTGTAGAAGAAGGCAGACTTCATCAGCAAACCCTTATAAATAAAACTCTGCACATGGTGGACATGAAGAAGGGGCCCACTGGACCAACTATAGCTACATTTATGGTCTAAGTATGAAATGCCCCCCACAAGGTCGTCTGTTGAAGTCTCTCTCCCTAGTTGCTAGTGTTATTTTAGGAGGCTCTGGGAACTTAGGAAGTGGGGCCTACCTGGAAGAAGTGGGTCATTAGGGGAGGGTTCTTGGGGGTGGATTTTGTCCCTGGTCCCTTCCTCCCCACCCCTGTCTCTTTGCTTACTTCCCCGGGAGTCAGTATTTAGATCTGATGAAGTCAAACAGTTTCCATGAGGATTCCTTGGGTTTTTACCTTGACCTTGGAAACTTCTGTGGTGAG